ATTGTCCTTTAATTGGAAAAAACTCCTACGCCCTTCGCGGGGTCGGAAAAAGGAGGTGCGACATAAATGTTCGAGGATGAGTCCAGTGCCTCTACGCCTAAGGTTTGGCCATTTATACTTAGCTCCTTTAAATCCTAGGTCAATAAGTTTACAATAGTTTATATATGACAGGAGGTGTGAGGCTCTAGTATGATTAATGGGTCTGCCTACCCACTTGTCTTCCTGAGTAAGAATGTTGTTAAAGTCACCACCTAGGAACCATTTCCCCTTCTAAGAGTTAGCTATGTATTTGAGGTTATTCCATAATATAATACGATTATTTAAATCAATATTAGCATAGACAACATTGAAAAGCCAAGGATCATGGTTAGGAAGCATGACGTAGATTTTTTGATTCATGGTGGAGATTTGAGTCATGTTGATGAAGTTATCATCCCATAGGATGACAATCCTACCAGATTGTCCTTGAGCTAGTACTTCCAACATGTTTGTGAAGTTGAAGCTATCCTTTAGGGGTAAGTGAGAAGTCGTACTGGTTTTCAGGAATGCTACCATGCAAGGATGATGGTTGTTAATAATGTCCCTAAAACTTCGTTTGAACTCATCGTTGTTTTCTCCTTTAATGTTTCAGATAATAAAACTAGTGGCTCTATTCATTTGGAGTAGGTTGTTTGGGGTTTGGACAAAGAACTGGATCGACTGAAAAGGTTGGTTGTTCCCCTTTAGCGACGAGCTTAGTACTACTGCAAAGTTTCCTACTGCTTCGTTTAGGGGTGGCCGGATATCTAAAGAGCACTTGTAGAGAGTTATTGTTCATCTGCAAATATATTTCTTGTCTTCCATCGCTTAGAATAATATGCTTTTGGCTTCTTTGATGTCTGAAATTTCTGTGTATGATGTTATTTGTAGTGGTGAAATTATTTCCACTTATTCCTCCATTTCTTGTTCTTTTTGTTCTGGTTCATTGTGGTGGTGATGCTTCTTAGCATGATGTATGTCCATTGGGAGAGGAAAGTATTGTGGTATTGGTTGCCATGGGTAGAGGAGGGGAGCTAAGTTGATCATCTCCTGTGGGCCATTAAATGGAAGTTGTTATAGGGGATCCATATTGTTCAGTGGGTTGAAGTGGTGGGGAAGTTTCTATTGTGCTTGCATGCTATGGATTAGTGCTGGTGCCAAGGCTGATGCAATAGGGTCCAGGATGTTGGCTATCCAGATATGGTTTATGTAGTTGGACATAGCTAAGTTCATACCCACCGTTATGAGTTGCGCTAGGACTTGTGATCTTGGAGAATTATTAGAGGTTTCTAGTTATTGATGTTCATGGACAGAAACATTGCTTGCCCTTGCAGTCCCTGTTCTATCCAGGAGGTTGGTTGGTGTTCTAGTAAGAGAGGTTGAGTAATGTAAACTACTGGAAATGAGAGTTGGAAAGGTGGTGGGTTCGCCATTCTCCTCAGTATGTGTTGGAAAGTTATTTGTGGGAGTGGAGTGAAATGTGTTTTTCAGCAGTGCCTTAGTGATTGAGCGATGGGTGGTTGTGTTTAATAGTAGTAGATTGAGAAGTAAAAGAGTTAGAGAGATGTAGACAATTTAATGATTGCGAATCTTTGGCTTGTGATATGTTTTGCATGGCTGCCTTGGTTTCGCTTGAGGGGAAATATAAGAGGGGATTGGTGGTTCAACATGCATGGTCACTTGGTGCATGGTTTGTGCCAAGTTTATAAGTTGATTAGTCTCTGCCAACTCATTGTTATCATGCTTAGGAGGATGATAATGATTTGTTTCTTATGATTTGTTTACGCAGAGGAAGCTTAGGGAACTAGGGTTAGTAATAGAATTGGCATTGGTTCTGCCACGCGTCAATATGTCTGTGGTTACCTTATTAGGGTTTCTGTCTATCAAAGTTTTCATTTTGGGAGTTGTCATGGGTTGCTGTTGGTTTCAAGCTCCATACAAATAGAGTAATTGGAATGATTAAGATTGTCGCTATCTTGTAGAGGTAGGAGAGAGAGAAATTATTATTATTAGGATAGAGTTATTAGTATCATGCCTAGAGAAATTTTTACTCACACTATTGTCACTGTTATTAAAGGTTTTTTTAGATTACCAGAGGTTTCGTAATTCACGTCGGGGCTTGGGATAGAGTAGGTGGTGGAATTAGTTGGAGACTTTCATTTATAAACAAACTTGTTGGCTCAAGTAAAGGTGAGTTTTGAAGCCTGACAAAGGAACTCAAACATGAACCAGGTCTATCCTAGTGAGGCACGGATATGGTCAATTCAAGCATGTGAGATGCACGTGAAGGAGATAAACCTAACTTACCAGAAGTGATATCTCCTGATCATGTGCGAAAAAGGCTGCATATTGGATAAGGAGAAAGACTCCTTACACAAAGAGAACACGGCTTAAGAGAAGGAAAGAGTTAGAGGATGAGATCAACTAGAACTCTTCCACCAAGGAAGAGTAGCATCAGAATTCTAGTCAATCTCTATTTACTAACTCCATAAATATCAATGTTGTTCTCTTTTACAGACAATGCACATAAGCAGAAGTTAAATGTGAATTGAGAGCAAAATAGCAAGGCAATTTTGCAAGCAATTTATGTGAGATTCAAGCGTGCAATCCTGGAGCTACTTGAACCAGATAGAAGAACCAGCTCCAAGTGTCTATCTTTATTCTAATTTAATTGTAGTAAATGTTTTCATATTGTACCTTTCAGCTTTATCTAGAAGCAATTGTATTAGGTACTCAGAGTTTTCAAGTTAGAGTTAACTTGAAGTTGTGGCAACAGATGAGGCTGTGTGCTACAACGGGATTAGAGTTAATCCTAGGTTTACAAAAGAGTTTTTGTAAATGCAGTTTTTGGCTCAGTGATTTTAGTGGAGAGTTTGGAAAAATCCTACTGGAAGGTAGGTCGTGGTTTTTTCACCTTTTGAGCCAGGTATTTTTCACGTAAAATCTTTGTGTTTTTTAATTTCTGTACTTATTATTCCGCAACAGTAGTAGTTGGAACACATAGAAGAACCAGGTCCTTCTATAATCAGGTCAAGGGAAAAATTTGGCACCACACAAATCACCCCCCTCTTGTGTGGTATTGAAGTATAAAATGACAACTTTTGGGTGTTGAGGTACTTACCTGTAGCAGCATCAATTTGACATTGATACCTGTCCTTAGTAGGTTTGATTCCTCAGTGAATGGACCTTGTTACCTTGGCTTCTGCTTTGCTTCTCCTCTCCTTTTTGTGAAGGATACCGTTTGCCATTGATCCTGTGGGTGCGATGTTTAGGTGATGCCCCATGGTCCTTCTTTCACTTGAGTATAGGGTTCTGGTTTCTTGCAGTTGCATGATTGGCCAATATGGCTAGTCTTCCACAGAATTTGCTGAGAAAGTTCTCTCCTTCATATATTAGTTGTTGCATGTGTGTACCTATTAGAATGGCTGGTTGGAATGGTTGGTCAAGAGACACTTCCACACATAGTCGTGCGTATCTATCTCTCAGGGTAGACCTGGTACATGCATCTACTCTGAAAAGTTTTCCAATAGTGTTTTCAATCTTGCTTAGGATAATGGCATCATAGAACTCTGTAGGTAATTGAGATAGTCTTACCTAGACAGCAGAGTGATTTGGATTGCCTTACTAGCCACGAAGTTAGGCTCCCAACGCTGCAGTGATAGGTAAAAGCCGTTAATGAACCGTGAGCTATTTTGTAAAACCTTGGTCATATTTTCTTCTTTTGTAAATTTGACTAAAAAATAATTCGATCCAAGATCAATTAGTGAAAATTGTTCAATTGGCTTCCATAACTCCAGAATTTTTGATTTTAGGTATTGATGAAGTACACTTCTGCCTAGGAGTTTGATTATGAGGGAATGCTTCCATGGGGAGTACATTCTGTTTGTATCTTCTTAGATAGGTCGATGCATTTTAGTTTTAACAGATCCGAGGTTGAAGGGGAGTCTATTACTGCTCAATCATTGCTTGTGGGGGCAGCACTGGTGAATTTGTGTGCAGGGATACAAGGCAGTCACCTTCCGCTGCTTGCGATAGTAGTTTATCTTTAAATGGAGGAGTGGTTAACGAAGACTTTGTTGCGTTAATATCAAGTGATTTTGGAGGAATTTGGTTGGCGGGGCAGTTTATTTTGTTATCGTGCAATGAGTTGATGGTGACCATGGCGATTTGTTGGAAGTAGACTTTGTCTGAGTCAAGTAAAATTTCTTCAAAACTAGCTACATGCAAATGTATACACTTTGGATATTCATACTTGTAACTTAGATATGTTCATGAAACCTCCATCTTAACTAGTGCAGGATAGTGAGTTGATGTCCTTCCTTCAAACATTTTGGCTTTTAAACATTGGTACTATCTCTTTGTTGGCGTATGAGAACGTTGAGTAGTTAATGATAAGGGTAAAACAAGAAAAGAATTTATCTTTCTCTTGATTTGTTAAAATGGACAAGTAAAAGTAAAAAAATATTTTTAATATAATGGACAAATAAAAATGAACGGAGGGAGTATATGATAATTAAATATCCAAAGTGGAGGAACATGTATGATCAAGCACACCCTTTTATTCATTTTTGGAAGGGAAAGTTAATTACGATTCTTCATTATAACATATCCACACGTACATAAGAAAAACAGAACATGAACGCTAGTAGGCCTAGGCAGCAGCAGCCTCAGCGTGCATCTCAGCTTTAATGGCAGCAGCCAACTGGTCGTAGGCTTCACCCAATGCTTCTTTCATCTCTTCGCTCCATTTCTCTCCCATTGCTTCTTTCACTGTTCTCAACAATGCTTCTTTTACTACCTACATTAATACACAAACGCAATCATATAGTATATATATTTTTTTAAAATTATATAAAAGTTAACCTCTTTTTTTATTTTTTTATTATGGGGAAATAAAAAATTACCTCAAAGTGGGGGTCAATAACTCCCTTTTGGAGATGGACGGATCCCAAGTACTTGAGCGTAGTCTCACCAACCACCACTTCACCCTTCTCCCGCAGTTGAATGGCCGATTCACATGTCTATAAATATTCAACCATTATATTAGTCTTTTTTCTTTTCTTTTTCGGATTATTATATATAATTGTTTGATTTTAGTTAAAATACTTTAGTTTCCTAATTTTCAAATATTCCCTAGGTTTTATTTTTATATGACAATGTTTTATTGGGCATGAAGTTTAAGAAAGAAAAATTAAATTTTAGCTCATACCAAAACTATCCTTAGTTACATGGTACTTATATGATTATAAAATAAAAATTGAAAGATAATGATTATTTGGAGTTCATATAAAACGAAATAGGAAGTAGTGGAGTAACCAATAAACTTTTCAAGAAACTTCCAATAAAAGAAAAAATATAAAATAGTAAGACGGAAAATGCAAGCAGAAACTTCCAAGCTAATGCGTATAACCAGACGAAGTGAGCATGTGCATGCCACGGTCCTTATCCTTTGTTGGGAAATATGAGGTACGTAGAGATTATGATAATTTCAATATACGTTGCTCTTTAAAATATACATATTTTCAAAAAGTCGAAGCACCATAAGATAATATTATTGAATATGTTGCATCAAATTAAATCTGTAATAAGAACATATCCACAAAAATAACGAATGGAGATCCTTGCTTAAAAGGAAGNTATATATAAGTACTAACCATCTTGAAAACTTTAACAGCGTGGGCTTTAAGTTTAGGATTGTTCTGAGGAATTTCGTTCGAATCCTTCAAGAATGAGAACATGTTCTTTGCTGCTGGTGCTATCTCCAAGATCCTGTCAAATCGGCCACATTAAAATTACCTTCTGTTTGATATCAAATGGACAAGTGTGGTATATATAGAGCATCATATTGAAGACCAAACAGGAAAAAAAACAGAAATTAAAATATATTGTATGCATCACACTTTTACGCGCAGTGGCAAATCTAGACTAGATAAAAGTGCGTGTATATATAAAAGTGATACTCACAAGGAGAAGAAACGAAGACTGAGTTGAGGAATATTTTTCTTCATGATTTCCCAAGAATCCTTCACCATAGCTTCTTGTTTCTCTGTGAACCCCATCTCCCCTTTCTCTCTCTATCTCCGGTATTTATCTCACTTACTTTTTGCTGAATTTGTGCTGTATCCTCGGAATTTATACTGTTTGAGCCTTTTTGAGTGATAAGGAGGAAAGTACCATCCATCTCAAAAAAGAAAAAAACAAAAATAAAAAGAGGACCACTACGTCATATTTTTTTAATTGTACGATCTATTCTCTGAGCAACTGTTTAAGATAGATAAATGTATAATTTAATGAATAAAAAAACAGGAGGGGAGGAGGAGTAGCATACACAGGACTTTGAGATTCGTTACCGATTATAAGTAATATATTTGCTAGTCTTGGCTCTTCGGTATTGTTTAAGGACTTAACTATTCAACTTTCACTAGGATTACATTATAGTCAAGTTGTGACACATAATTTAAAAAATAATATTCTCTCCGTTTCAATTTATGTGAATTTATTTGATTGGGCAAAAAATTTAAGAAATGAGAGAAAACTTTTGAACTTACGGTGTAAAATAAGACACATATATATTTTGTGTGACTGTATATTATTGCATAAAGATAAATTATTTTCAAATAAGGAAATAGATTCTTTTTTTTGGCACAGACTAAAATAAAAATAAATTCACATTAAATTGACAGAGGGAGTAATTGTTAGAGAAAGTATTTACAAAGTACATGTTTTTCATGTCGTACACATGTATTCGGATTTTCTATCAACTTATGAAATAATCTATCAAAGTAACTCGTGCTTCTTTTTATTGGAATAATAACGACACCTAACTATTACTTTTTGGCTCAAAATTAAAAACACACTCATTTGACTTGTAATGTCATATTAAAAACTTATGTTTTAATGATAAAATTCATAGAACCCATATCTCTTAGAAAACTATACCTAATTTAGCCTTTCCAAGAAAATATTGCTACTAATATTAGTTAATTACTCATAAAATACTATGAATATAAGTCCTTGACTATTTGTATGCTATAGACAATACATTTGCGTCAAGAAAATAATTAAAATATTACAACAATTGTAGTATTTTATTTCAAACGATATGAGTTGCAATTTCTATGAATCATCTCGTTCTTCTTTTCTAAGATAAATTCAGGGGCCTTTGAGTTTGATCTTGAATTTATGCGTGTCTTCACGAATGATGACCTTGAATTCAACTAGAACGAACTTTGATTTGAACTCGTCCTCCTTGAACCTTGCTTTGTTCTTCATTCTTGAGCTTGAACTTGATTTCTTAGACTTGATCTTGATTGCTTGAAACTCAAAGCTTGTAGAGAAATGTGATGACCCAAAAGGTCATCACTTGTTTTAAAATTTTTTTATGTATTTCGAGGCATTAAAATCCTCTTTCTGTCTCACCTCGACTTGCGTGCACAGTCCGGGTGCGTAGCCGAAAAGCCATTATGTGAAAAATCTATGAAAAATGATAAATTTTGCCTTTAAAATAAATTTAAGTTGACTTCGGTCAACATTTTGGATGAACGGACCCGGACCCGTGATTTGATGGTCCCGGAGGGTCCGTAGGAAAATATGGGACTTGGGCGTATGCCCGAAATCGAATTCCGAAGTCCCAAACTCGAGAAATGAATTTTTAAAGAAAATTATTTTCTGGAATATATATGAGTTTTTGGAAATGGAAAATATTTGAAATTTGATGGTATCGGGCCCGTATTTTGGTTCCAGAACCCGGTACAAGTCTTATATGTGATTTAAGTCGAGCCTGTAAAATTCGGTAAGAAACGGAAGTCGTTTGATATGATTCGGACTCGTAGTTGTAAAAATTGATACTTTGAAAGTTTTGAGATTTTTCTTAGGTTTCTATGCTAAATTCATTGTTTAAGATGTTATTTTGGCGATTTGATCGCACGTATAAGTTCATATGATGTTTTTGAGTTAGTACGCATGTTTGGTTTGGAGCCCCGAGGGCTCGAGTGAGTTTCAGATAGGTTTCGGAAGGTTTTTAAACTTAGAAAAGTTGCAGGTTTTCAATTTCTGGTATTTTGGAGTTTTATTCTTCGCGTTCGCGGAAGGACTCTCGCGAACGCGAAGGGTAAGTCAAGCTGAAGGAATTTTTCTTCTACGCGAACGCGAGAAACAGGTCGCGAATGCGAAACTTTGGGGGTGCTTCCCTTTGCGAACGTGGACCTGCTATCGCGAACGCGAAGGCCTTTGGGCCTGGGCAGGGGGAGAGAGATTTTACTCTATGCGAACGCGGCCACCTGACCGAAAACACAAAGGCTTGAGGAGCTAAAACTCCGCGAGTGCGAGTCCTTGAACGCGAACGCGACAGGCCTATCGCGAACGGGATGAAGGCCTGCCCAGTTATTTTAAAACAGAACTAGAACCGGGCAGAACCTTTTTTACTCCATATTTTCAAACTCCCAAGGCCTAGAGGCAATTTTCTTCACACAAATTCATCTCCAAAGTGTTGGTAATCAATTCTAAACTTTACTCTTTCAATTACCCATGTTTTTTCATCACTTTCTAATCAAAAATCAAGAGTTTTCATGGTAGAAATGATGAATTTGGGTAGAGTTAGGGCTTTTTGAATAATTGGGATTTAGACCTCGTTTTGGGGTTGGATTTCGAAACTAATTGCATATTCGGGCTCGTGGGTGAATGGGTGATCAGGTGTTTGGTCTGAAGCTCGAGTTTTGACCAGGCGGGCTCGGGGTCGATTTTTGACTTTTTGGGGAAAATGATAGAAAACCTATAATTAAGCATTGGGTATGAATTCTTTAGTATTTATTGATGTTGTTAAATCAATTTGCACTAGATATGAGTTATTTGGAGGCGAATTCTAAAGGAAAAGCAGTGTTTGAGGCTTGAGTTGGCCGTGGAAGTTTGAGGTAAGTGTTGGGTTTAACCTTAGCTTGAGGGATTAGGAGTTGTGTCTTATTTGCTACGCGTTAACTGTGGAGTACGACGTATTGGCATGGTGACGAGTATCTATACGTTGGGGTCAAGCATCCTTGTGAGTCTTGTTTTGTAATTTTTATGACCCTGTTGTGGTTTATTCGTGCTTCATATGAGAATTATATTACTGTTCCCTTGCTGGGATGTTGTTGTGATATTATTGTTCCCTTGCCGAGATGTTGTTGTGATATTATTATTTCATTGCCAGGATACTATTGTAATAGTATTGTTCCCTTGCTGGGATGTTATTATTATGCTATTATTCCCTTACCGGGATTCATTTATGATCGGTGTTGATAAATAAAATGAGAGAGGGTTGCACGCCTGCAACGATAATATATAAAATGGGAGCAGGTTGCACTCCTGCAACGGTAATATATGAAATGGGAGTGGGTTGCACGCATGCAATGATACTATATGAAATGGGAGCGGATTGCTGCCTGCAATGGTACTATATGAAATTGGATCGGGTTGCACGACTGCAACGGTATTACATGTGTACTTGATTCTTATTTCCTTATCTTTTGCTGGTATTTGATTTATGGCGTTCCTTACATTTCTTTACTGTTATTCTATTGTTACCTGTTACTCCCCGCAGCATGTTTCCCCTCCCAACTTCAGTTGTAGTTATCTGCTTCTATTTCTGCTGTATACAATTTAACAACATAGGTTTATTTGGTAGTCTGGTCCTAGCCTCGTCACTACTTCGCCGAGGTTAGGCTAGGCACTTACCTGTACATGGGGTCGGTTGTAATGATACTACACTCTACATTGTGTGCAGATATTGATACCAGAGCATTTGGACCGCAGTGAGGGTGTTTTCTTCAGTCCACACAGGCGATCCGAGGTAGTCCTACAGACGTCCGCGGGCCTTGGCGTCTCCTCCTATTTTTCCTCTTTCTATTTTTACTTATTCAGAGACAGACTTATGTATTTCCATTCAGACCTTATTTGTAATCTTCTTAGATAGTTCATGACTTGTGACACCAAATTCTGGGTAGTATTGTACTTCAAAGTATGTAGCAGTGTTTGGTTGAATTATTAAGTTTTCGTCTTCCGCATTTTTGGTTATTTAATTTATTCCGCTATTTAATCACTTATTATTCTAAATTGTTGAACATGTTTAATAAAAAGGGTAATGATTTTATAATATTCGACTTGCCTAGCTTCCATGAGTAGGCGCCATCACGATTCCCGAAGGTGGGAAATCCGGGTCGTGACAAGTTGGTATCAGAGCACTAGGTTACATAGGTCTTACAATTTACGGACAAGCTTAGTACAGTCTGAGGGATCGGTACGGAGACGTCTATATTTATCCCCCAGAGGCTACAGAGTTAGGAAAAACTTCACATCTATTCTTTCCTTTTGTGCGGTTTGGTTTCTCAATGCTAATTGAATTTCTACTCTGTTCTTTCGCAGATGGCGAGAACACGCGCTCCCTCATCCACTGATCAGAAGCTCGAGCCCCCAGCAGTATCTCCCATGAGGGGCAGAGGGCGAGACCGAGGCTGTGCTAGAGGCCGAGGCAGGGGCAGAGCTCAGCCTAGAGCAGCAGCACCAGCGACAGAGCCTCAGGTTGAGTTTCATGATGAGGTTCCAGCCCAGGAAGTTCCGATGGGCCCAGCTCAGGTCCCAGAGGGGTTCATTGCTACGCCAGTACTCCAGGATGCTCTGGTCCGTCTAGTGGGCCTTATGGAGAGTGTTACCCGGTCAGACTTGCTTCTTGTAGCACCAGTCGTCTCTCAGGCTGGAGGAGGAGCCTAAACTCCTGCTACTCGCACTCTAGAGTAGATGGATCCCCAGTTTCATACACTAGTAGCTCAGCCAGTTGAAGCAGTTCAGTCGGGTGTGGTAGCTCAGACCGGTGATGAGCTATGTTTGCTGATGCCTTGTGGAGATTGGACAGGTTTACCAAGCTCTTCACTACCACTTTCAGTGGTGCATCTTATGAGGATCCCCAGGATTATTTAGACATCTGTTATGAGGCTCTCAGAAACATGGGGATAGTGGAGACAGATGGGGTTGACTTTGCTACTTTTCGCTTATCAAGATCCGCCAAGACTTGGTGGAGGGATTATTGTTTGGCTAGACCAGTTGGGTCACCAGCTTTGACTTGGGATCAGTTTTCTCAGCTGTTTTTGGAGAAGTTTCTTCCTGTCACTCAGAGGGAGATCTATCGGAGGTAGTTTGAGCGTCTTCAGTAGGGTTCTATGACTGTTACTCAGTACGAGAACATGTTTATTAATTTGGCCCGCCATGCTCTTCTTATACTTCCCACTGAGAGAGAGAGAATGAGGAGGTTCATTGAGGGACTCATTCGGCCTATTCAAAGATGTAGTTCAGAGTGGTG